TTCATGTGCTTGTTTCAGTTCCAGGAGTAAATCTGAAATATTGTTAGTCATTAGTTTGACCTTTTTATTGAGATCTAGTGACAATGTGTTTACGTAAATCTGATTTTGTTATTTTTAATTCTACTTTATATCCTCCATTATGGCAATGACACGGGGCTCATTGTCGGCTACGGTATCAGTTGACTCGTCAGTGGAACTATGTTTTTTTTCATTTCTGATGGATAATCTTAGAATAGAATTTGTTGGTAATTTGTTTTACTTGCCTCGTTAGTGTTCCAGGTTTGCTCTAAACCTCACCAGTAAATAATGGAGAGAGTACCAGTATGCGAAATGCATTTTTTATGGCATCTAAGACACCTGGTGCTGTGGGCCACGAGGCTTCAAATTATTGCAAAAAATTATAAATCAAAATTCACTTTTTTTCGGAGTCCATATAAATGACTAGTTTTCCCAGAAACGCATTCTATCGTCTCATTGTCGGAACCCCATTAGTTGATGGTCAACTCCCATTAGTTGATGGGCCGGACCATGTTAGTTCAATAATGAGTCGCACCGAATTACTTGATGGGCTGAGTCCCATTCCTAGATAGGTCGCACTCGCACCCATTAGTTGATGGGGCGAACCACGTTAGGTGATGAACCAAACCCGTATTAGATGATATGTACCACCCCGTTAGTTGATACACAGAACCGTACTAGTTGACCCCATTAAGTTCATTAGTTAATAGACTGAGCTCTTTGGTGGGTTGCACTCCATTAGTCGATGGACCGAACCCTACTACTTACTATTGCTAGACGAAACGATTTCTTAATGTCAATAGTTCTTCCCACATTTCGTACAGTGCAGTTTAACAGTTTTTAACGCCCTTTACCGTGGTTGCACTACCTTGCCCGTATCATCGTAGATAGATGCTCTCTAAAATATGCAATACTAAAATGTGCCAATATGTTTTTTTACTTTATGTATTATAAATCATTTTGTGGCCAAAGTTGACGAGTATGTTTCTCGCCAAAACCTTGAGTAGTATTGGTGTACGATTTTGGAAACTTTTTTATAGTTCATAATACAGTAAATGTAGTGTTAATTGAGAAACTTGAAAATTAATTATTTAATTTTGTAATTAGGATGGCTCAATTTTTGGTTTGAGTCAACCTAAATTTTAGTCAGTAATTTTATGCAAAATTCTGTATAGATATAATATTGCATTGTTTCAGAACAAATTTGTGCTATGCAAAGAAAAAAATGTACCAGGTAACGAGTACATCGTGAGTTTGTACCCATTCTGAATTCGTATTAGTATGGATTCCCAGGATGTAAGGTAGTAATAGATACACTATGTTTTATTAAAGAAACTCCAAACTGTCAGTAACTGAAGCCCCGGCGTAACCGGGTATCTTTTGGGAATTTCAAATACGCTCTTTGGGGGTAGGTGTTGATCACTTAGTTAAAGCAGGGGAGTCATCAACTGCGCATGCGCCAGATGGTCATAGCGTGTCATTGTTTACAAACAAGCGTCTATCCATGGAGGGATCTCCCTTCATGGTCTACCCATGAGCCTTTGCATTTTTAGCGTGTGTTGTTATCGTCGCTTGGGACT